CAAGGCCGTCTGTCTCCTCCCCGGTGCCAGTCACCGCAGCATCCAGCAGAGGAGGGACGCGTGGTGTACCGGAGGGAGTTTCTATTGCTGCTGCTGCTGCTGCTGTTGCTGCTGCTGCAGCTTCTGCTGCTTCTGTTGTTTCTGCTGCTGCTGCTGCTGCTGCCTTTTGTGGTGGTGGTTCTACAGCTCCCACCGCCGGTGCTTCTCCTCGTCCNCTGCTGCTGCTGCTGCTGCCTTTTGTGGTGGTGGTTCTACAGCTCCCACCGCCGGTGCTTCTCCTCGTCCGCTCGTGTCTTCAACTGCACTTCGCTGCTGCATCACGAGTGCTGCAGCAGTATCCGTTTTGCCTGTACATTCCGCTGCTGCAGCAGCAGCAGCAGGAGCAGCAGGAGCAGTGTGTTGCTGCTGCTGCTGCTGCTGCTGTTGGTGTTGTGGTTTTGGCTGCAGCAAGGACTTGGCCATAGATGCCGGCACCGCAATGAGTAGCCCAATAGCTTCAGGTGTGAGCTCGAGAAAAATTTCTTGAAAGAGAATATTAAGATGAAATTGTTTCATATTTAATATTTGTATATGCATGCGTATGGGTATAGGGTGTAGTATAGAAACATCTGAGTGACCCGCGGGCATACATAAAACCCTGGTCTCGTTAAACTCCAATACACCCCGCAGAGCATCGTATGGGCACAGGCCGTCAGAGCGCAGAGACAAAGTACCCAGATGCAGAGCCAAGCTCCCCGCCCCTTTTCCATCTATATATAATATAGGTGCAGCAACAAGTAAATCAAATTGTAATAAATCAGGAAAATGATGAACTGCTGCTTCATATACAACTTCTCCTCTCTCACGTAAACCCTCAACAAATTCACTCTTACGCATTGAATCTACATCTGTAGCCACACGACTGCTGCTGCTGCTGCTGCTGCTGNAACAAATTCACTCTTACGCATTGAATCTACATCTGTAGCCACACGACTGCTGCTGCTGCTGCTGCTGCTGTTGGTGCTAGAGGGCTGCTGCTGCCCAGAACCAGCGCCAGAAGCAGCTGCTGCAGCAGCAGCAGCAGCTGCTGCAGCAGCAGCACGTCGCTCTTCTTCCTCCTCTAACCTCTTCACATCTGCTGGGGTCTCAAAGACAAAGAAGTCGCAGAGCGTACGCAGCAGCTCTGGCTTTATAGAAGCAACGAGCGGAGCCAGGCGGATGTAAACCCCCAAAATATTTCCGGTGGGGGTGAGGTCATGCCGCAGCTCCAGTCGTGCTGCAGTAAGACAAGAACCAGCTGCAGCAGCAGCAGCAGCAGCACCAGCAGCAGATTCACCAGCAACACCACCAACACCAAATCCTGATGATGATGATGATGATGATACTCCACTACTGCTCACACTTGGAGTCCAACTGCTGCTGCTGCTGCTGCTGCAGCTGCTGCTGCTGCTGCTGCTGCTGCTGCTGTTGCTGCTGGTTAGAGAAGGTTCGGTATCTCCCGTCGCTGCGGTGCCCAGCATCAGCAGCCGGCGTCGGTAGGCTGACATTCTGGGGGATTCTGCTGCTGCTGCTGGTGCTGGTGCTGCAGTTGCTGCAGTTGTGGTTGCAGCAACAACATCAGCAGCAGCAGGCGTGATGGGTGCAGCCGGAGCAGCTTCATGGTCTCTACGGAAATACATAAGTAAATGTTTTTGCTGCCTCACAGCAACATTCGATAAAGAAATACAAAACGACCATTCGCTGCTGTCTCTTCCTGCTGCATCTTGTTTACTTAGGAGGTCCAGAGCAGCCCCCAAATTAAACAGTTCAATAGATAGAAAGGCCTTCTCTGCTGCACTATCAGTACGCATGTAGCTAGCTGCCCCTCCTCCCCCACCACCACCAGCAGCAGCAGCAGCAGCAGCAGCAGCAGCACCTGCTGCTGCTGCTGCTAGAGGGGGCGGGGGCGGGGGCTGAGGAAAGCCGGGGGGAAAACTCCTGGATGGGTCTGTTGGGGTGTAGCCAATTGCTTTGATAGTTTTTGCTTCTTTAAGAGCTTCTGCTGTCTCCTCTTCTGTCTCCTCTTGCTGCTCTATGTCGTTCTTCATGCATATACTGAACCGCTCCAGCGCAAATGTTAACACATACTTTGTAGGCAGAGATACACTCTGCATCAACTCGTCAGACTGCATCCATCACACCACCACACACAGCAGCAGCAGCAGCAGCAGCAGCACACAGCAGCAGCAGCAGCAGACAGAGCAGCAGAAGACACAGCAGCAGCAGAAACAGCAGCAGCAGAAACAGCAGAAACGCACACAAGATGCAGCCATATAGAGTTACGAGAGAATCGAGGATAGAGTGTTTAAGGTTTAGGGTTTAGGGTTTAGGGTTTAGGGTATCTGTATGTGGTGGGGAGGAAGCAGCAAAAGAAGACAGATAGGCACTCTAGTGTCTGTGCAGCAGCAGCAGCAGCAGCAGCAGCAGCAGCAGCAGGTGGAATTCGTAGATAACAAGCAACAGCAGCAGCAGCAACAAAGACGTGGGGTGGCTGCATATGCAAGTGAACTGCAGCAACTGCCATAGCAACTGCTGCTGTTGCTGCAACAGCAGCTGCTGCTGTTGCTGCTGCAGCAGCAGCTGCTGCTGCAGCAAGAGGCTTGCAAGTGTTACCTGTACAGCATCAACGATGAGCTGTATGTCTTCGCTTGTCAGTAGGGGGGCTTCTGTGTCTCCCCCTGCAGCAGATTGAGCAGCATCTGCTGCTGCATGCGTCCGCTGCTGCTGCTGCAGCTGTTGCTGCTGCTGCTGCTGCGCCACTCCCTGGCGCCCGGTAACCCACTGCCACCAACTCTGCTGCTGCTGACGGGGGAGCTGACGTTGCTGCTGCAGCAGCTGCTGCTGTTGCTGCTGCTGCAGCAGCTGCGTCTGCTGGAGCACACGGTTGGTAGCCTCCGTGCATATGTTCCGCCACTTCGCCAGCTGCGCACCAGCACCCCCACAAAGCCCCATATGCATGCAT